CCTGTCGGCTTTACCTCTTATTTATAGAGTTTACCTGTGGGTATTGGATTCTGGACCTTCTATGCCTTTTATAGCAGCTCAAGCCCATGTATTATGCTGTCGTATTAGGATTGATATCCTTGATGGATATTGTAAGAACCTGCACCGTTAATTAAGGATATTAATTAATTATATATGTAAAAATAGAAAATAACTTCATAATTGACCCTAATAATTATTAAGAGGCTTTAATAATTATGATAAGTGATTAAGAATGTTGAAAGTCGCTTTTCGGAAGAAAAGTGCAGATACTGGTTCTGCTAGTCGATATAAATGCGTACCGAAAAAATATCTCGGAAAGTTATAATAAGTGCATGATAATTCCTAGAATAATGTATAGGACTTGTAAAACGAGTTTCAAGTTAAAATAATGAGAAATGGTGCCAGAAACTGATACTGGCTATGAAAAGCGCGTACCGGAAAGGTGCTCCGAAAAATAAAATAAAAATATGGTAAATCTTAGAAAAATGAGTAGGTTCAGATTTCAAAGTTTGGGATTAAAATGCTAAGCATAGCGATTAGCGCTAATACAACGCGATTAAAACGTAAGTGACTATAAATAGCTAAATGGCACATGATCCTAGGTCATTTGTGCCATCCTACGTGAACCATTTTGCTGGAGCTGCTGCCTCCATCCGCCAACACCTCTCCTTCATCCTTCTTTGAGCCAAAGTGATATCTTTTGCTTGATTCTTCTCTCTTTTCCCTTGGTAAACACTAGTGAGCATCTTTGTGAGGGGGAGAGGTAGCATTTTCTGAGTTGTGACCTTTGTTTTGGTGGAGTCTAGGGGCTGAGTTGGGTGTTTGGGTTGAGGGCTACCTAGCAAGGGTGTTTTGAGCTTCAAGTGTTGAACTTTGTGGTGAAAGGGTCAACCTTGCTTCACATTTTCGTGTTCCCTGTAACCTGCACCATGGGAGCTTCATAGTGAGCTCCAAGAGCCTTTGTTGCTTCTGTTTTGAAGCCTTGTGTAAGTTCCCTGCCTTAATCATGAGTTTAATGGGCTAAAGTTGATGTCTTGGCATGTTTAATGGATTAAACAAGTAACCAACTGTCATATGAACTTAAATGGACCTAAAGATGCATGTTTAAGCTTCTGTAATTGGTAAAAATGGATCCCTTGGAAAGATATCTCGCGAAAATGCAAAATCTGCATTCTGACGCGAAATATCCGGATATTTGGTTGGAAATATCCGGATATTCAGTTGGAAATATCCGGATATTTTGGTCGGGACAACAACGAACCTGTTTTAGTAAAAATTTGATATCTTGAGCTACCGAGCTCCAAATTGAGTTTTGTTTGGACCTGTGTGAAGCTAACACATAGGCATACAACTCTGTAAAATTTTGTAGCCATTGGATCAGTGGTTTAATTGTAGCATCAATTTTAAGTCGCGTTTTGGTTGCTGGAAATTCCGTTTGCAGCAGTCACATTGCGTAAAACTTAACCGGAGTTATACACCTCCGATTGAGGCGTATAATATGTCGTTGTAAAGCAAGAGATGTCTATTTTAACATATTAAAATCTTAGATTTTTTTAGTAAATAGATGCAATTAAAGTTTTAAAAAGAGTAAACGTAGTTTAATGCTTAAGGCTTTGAGAAAAGCCTGCAGTAAGCGAAAATGAGATAGAAAACGTATTCCTTTTGCCATGAAATTATAGAGCATCTGTATTGATGATAATTATGGTATAAACAGACTGTGATTGTGCTATTTGTTGACCTTGAGCTAGCGTGGACTCTTGGATTGGATAGTTAGCTTAAGAAGTAAGCTTTCGTGTCCTCGGTTTAGCCATGTTGTGGTTCCACCATGTCCCATGGGGGTATGGTATATGCATGCTGTGTTACATGCTTTTGATGTTTTGGAAATGTTGTTGAGCTGTTTTATGTTAGTGCCTTTTTGATATGCATGTTGTGTTCCACCTATACGGTAAGCCTGAGTATGTGGTACATACAACATGGTGAGGCTGTGGGTGAGGTGCAAGCGATGTTCCTTGTACTACATGTAGGTATAGACGTATTCCTGCATTTCTCTGGCCAGTAGAATAGTTTAAACACACATGGCATGAATATCTGTTGCACTGCATAGTTTTGGAACTTATATTGATATAAATGCTTTTAGAACTTATATTGCACATGTAAGTGAGCTTGGGGTGGAAGATCTTTGAGGACCCCTTGTCTTACTGAGATTTCTTGTTTAGAGATCTCACCCCACGTTTGGGGAATGCATATTTCAGGATCAGGTAATGTTGGGGTTGAGGCCCCAGGCGGCAGGAGGCCGGAGCTGAGTTAGATATTGATGATATTATATGCTGACATGTTGGATGTTGGATATGCTTGCTGCTTTTATGCTTTTAGCTTCATTTTATGATTTTGGATTATCTTGTTGAGACTCTGTCGTTATGTTGTTGATTTGGTGAGCATGGGGATTGTCCATGCCACTTAGACTGGGTTATGTCTTGTTTTATTTAGAGTTGTATTAATGTATTAGGATATTTTTCGGATTACGTGACGTAATGTCGTGACTTAGATACTCACTTTATATTTTATATTGAGGTATTTCAGTTAGTTGTCTTGCAATTTACATACAGTTATTGTTTTTATGAAATTGATTAAGTAATCAACTTGGCTAAGTATAATGACGTCATAATTGGAAAAGAAAAAGATATTCCGCAATTTTTAATTAAGCGCCGCTTATTACGATGTAATGTTAACAAACCGGGTATACACGGGGTGTTACAGTTATCCTTCCTTAATTAAACCTAATTTATATTTGGATTGCCCCTTGTTGGGCTTAGCAATAAATGGGCCTCATATATAGGTCCATAACACACCTCAAAGGTTTTATAAACAAAATTATAACCTAATAAAATAAAAATCTAGGAATTTGTTAACCATTAGTTGGTCCTTTGATTTTCACCGTAACATTATTGTAGGTGACTTAACAATTGCGACCAATAATTTGAACAATCAAGATTCAAAAGTCGAAGATACACACCTTATTTCTAAAATTATAGATTGCACTATAAGGAGTTAAGAAGTTCATTTTTAAGCATCTCAACCATGAAACAAATAATTGTGAAAACTAGCTAGCCAATGAGACCATGAGTATGGACTATAGTTTGTATGTTTTCAAGCAAATACCTAAATTAATTGAGTTATAGACCATGAAGGATCATATCATCTGTATTATGAATCCTGTGTTATTTTTCTTTGTTTTCTTGGGCTTAGCCCTCCCTACCTTCTAAACAACAAAAATTATAAAGGATCATATTTACTGTATTTTGAATCCTCGATAATATTTTTATGTTTATCATATTTACTTGCTTACCATAAAGAATCATATCCTTTGTATTTTGATTCCTATGTAGTTTTTCTTTGTTTTCTTGGTCTTAGCCCTCCGTTTCTACTAAAAACCAGAAAATATAAAGAGCTTACTAAAATGTTAAACATAGGTCAAGAATTATGTATAAGCCATATAAATCATTTGGACAATATTTTTATGCTTATGATATTTATTTGCATTTCGTTCAATTTTATGCTTTATAACTATTTATTGAATGTTAAAACAAATACACCTTCTCCTAGGTTCATTGACCAATCAGGGAGTTAAATAAAGTATTGTATACCCATCTTAATGCTTAAGGTAATAAAAGTTTCTTAAAGTTTTTACAAACAAAACTATAAAGTAACAAAAAAGGAAAATCTGGGGAGCTTACATAAAAATTGAATATAGGTCAAGTATTATGAATAAGAAAAAATAAATCATTTGGGTAATACTTTTATGCTTATAATATTTACTTGCGTTGCATTTAAAGAGTTTTATTTTTCATAAATTCTTATTGAACATTAAAAATCAATACACCTTTTGTTAAGTTGGTTGACTAAACAATGATTTGAAAAAAATTGAATTTTTAAAAAATATAAAAGAATATATTATTAAAATCGGGATATTTTCAAACATAAGAGAAGCCCTACAAGTGTTTGACGTTATTCCTTGTGGTACCTTATTTGGATCCACCTATATTTTTTTTTAAATAGAAAAAATTAATCTATTGTCACATGAATAGTGCTTGTTGAAGGCATTGGTTCACAAATGCACTAGCCACATAATACAATTGCCTCTTTGGGTAATTATATTATTTCCGTCACCATTAATTTATTTAAACATCACTATTAATGTACCAACATTTTAAATTTTACATGGTAAGCCATACCATTAATTGGTACCATCTCGTGTTGACTTGTAATCAAGAAGTAACTCTTATTATTAAATGTTTGCATCTCAATTTGACTAGATAATAAATAAAACACTTTTTTAAAAGCATATCTCTATGATCAATTTTCGATGTCCCCTCTCTTGTTCTCCATGATCAATTTTGCAATTTTCCAATGTATTCTTATTTATTATAGAAAAAACTGAAATTTTGTGCTTTGAAGACACTACATGAACTAGCGCCCCACAGGACTAGTCACGTCGCAATAGAATAAATTCTTTAATATATGTGGCATTTAATGTAAAATGTATAATAATGTCTTGTATACATGGCACAACCCCATCATAGAAAAATGTTTTTTTATTCATATTTTTTAGTAATTTTTTTTTGTTTTAAATACCCATTGGCTCAGTCATCACCCTCATACATATTTCAGTCTGAGCATTCATTTCCTACCAAATCTAGCATATATTATCTTAGCTTCTTCACTCTACTAAGGGGTAGATTGTTGCTATGATCAATGATCAGTACCCCCTTTGAGATTTGGAGAAATTTTTTTGAGTTCATTGCAAGGTTAGAGCTTTTTTATCTCGTGATGTTAATATTTGAACTCTTGAGTTCAAAAGGGTAATTTATGTTGATTGTTTTGGCTGATGGTGTTTTTGTTTGTGTTTTGAAGGTCTGCGGTTTCGATGGTGTTCTTGTTGGAGTAAAGGGTGGGTTTGAGTTTGCTTTTTGTTTGAAAAAATGGATAACTCCAAAAGCAAGCATGACGAAAATTTGGGTGTGAAAAAAACGGGGAAAAACATAAGAAAGAGCCCTTTACATCAGCCCAATTATAGTTATGTTGCTAGTGGAAGAAATCAAGAGCCTCCTTACATTTACAACATAAGCGTAGATGACTTCAAGGAATTTGTTCAGCGGGTTACTGGGTTGTCCTCACAGAATCCTCCTCCTCCTAAACCTTGTACTAATTTCCCAAAACCACAGCGTATGCGGTTGCAGAAGACCAGACCTCCCCCATTAACCCATGTGCGACCACAAATGTCGGTCCCTACAACCTCTCCACCAGTTCCTTACAATAATTACAATAACACCTTCCATAGCCTTGCTCAATTTACACAAACATCACCAAATCCTTGGCAACCGTTACCTCCTGGGGACATAGCTTGGACTAATACACCTGAGTCACCCATCTCTGCCTACATGCGATATTTTCAAAATTCTCATTCCTCGTCATGGGGAAACCAAGTGCAACAACAAACACAACCACAGCCATACTCTCTTCAACCATTGGTACCAGAAATTGTTCAACCCTATCCAGCGTCTTCTGCTTTATTTACTAATCCTCCCATATCAGAAAATGGTCAGTCCTATCCAGCTTCAGCTGCTTTATTTCCTAATCATCCCATATTAGAAAATGTTCAGTCCTATCCACCTTCATCTTCTTTATTTCCTAATCATCCCATACCAGAAAATGTTCAATCCTATCCACATTCATCTACTTTATTTCCTAATCCTCCCATGCCTAATGCACCTATGATTGATAATGATCCACCTGTGCTGCCGTGTATTCCTTCCCCACAAACAAATGGCCTTCCAATTTTACCTTCCCCAAATTCTCAATCCCTCATGCCTTCATCAACTAGGTACATGAATTTCCCATCCACTCAGTCACCTGATCTGCTATTGTCACCTGATGTTCAGTTTCCATCTCCTTTTACACCAGACTTCCCTTTCCCTCTCTTTGATCAATTAGGGTGTTCAGACCTTGGGGCTCAAACTGAGCTTTCTCCAGACATGTTTCCATTATCTCCTAGTTCGGGACTTTTTCCAGTCACAAGTCCTATGTGGAGAGATGATTAGCCTTCTCATTTTTGAGATACATGGTTCATTAATGGTGCTCCCTTCTAAATGAACTGATCTTAGTTTTTAAATGTGCCTTGTTTTTCTGCTGGTAGTCTTTATTTCCCTTTCCCTTGTTGTCTTTTGTTTATCACCATAATGAGTGCAATCTTTTTGCTTTGACAAGTTTTACTTTGAAGATCAGGAACTCAATACAGGAGCTGTAAGATGGAAGACATGATCAAATGAAGCAAGCTTACAGTCAATAATTGTTGTGTAGTGTAGCTCATTTTCTATTGTAATTTAATGGATTGCATGTTTAAGAGCATAGTTATTTTCATGTTATGTTTACTATGGAAGATACTTTCATGTACTGATCTCATAATTATCATCAAGTGATTTGCAATGAAAGATATTTTCTTCTTCAGTACTTATTTGTTATTTATTTTTTCTTATCTCAAGTAGTTCTTTATTTCATCCAATGGCTGTTTTAGAAGGGAGTAATTGGAGGCTTAGGGGAAAAGGCTTGAAGAAGAGAAAGAATAAAAACGGCGAAGATGAAACTGAAATTTGTAATATAAAAAATTTGTAAGCAACATCACTCTAACCCATCCCACCAATAGAGCAATTGGGCCACAGTGAGTCTGACTAATAAGTACACGACTCGATTAAATTATTTGTGAAAAAATAAAAAATCTCAATCACAACATTTTAGTATTTTGATTATAAATTATTTAAAAAATGAAGTTAATAAAAAATACATTTAAGTAATAAATGAGTTGAGCGTCACACTTCAGCTATGATTTCAACGGAAGTTATACACATCTCTAAGGATATACATAAATTATTTCCAAGCAATTTATGACTACGAAGTAAAATATCATTATAATTGATCACCAAAAAAAAAAACATTATAATTGAATGCTCAGGTATATTTGTTGTAAATTTCATTTATATACAACATTCTCGAAGGTTGTCAAAGTGAAAGAAGCCTACATAGTTTATTAGTCTTACTCTCTTGTGAGTTGTGCGTATTTCATGGAACAACCTTTATGAATAAGAACGCGTTTCCCTCTATATATAAGGCCATCACCGTCTCTTCCTTGAAAATATTTTCAATATATCATATGCATCTATCACTCAGTGCATTCTTTATCAAATATGGAAAAGAGTAACATATTTACATTACCTTTACCTTTATTATTATTTCCTTCCATATCCCCTTTTTTTTTTTTGACAAGGGAATACTTACTCCCATTGTACCAAAAATTCACTCCTCTTCCTCATGCGTCTTTGCCACTTCAACACAATTCAAATACTCAAAGCATTTTAGATAGCACTTAACTTCCTATAATAATTACTTGAAACTTTCCACCATAATCTTACGTAACTCTTTCTGTGTGTATCCATAATGGAACGTGTAAACCCTCCTTTTAATTTGCCCCGTGGTTTTATTTAAGTTTTCTCTTTTATAGCAGCATGTCTTCACTATATGTACAATAGAAACACTTAACTCATTTATTTATCAAATATAATTAAATATCAACCCCATCAACAATTTTAACCTCCTAACTATAAGTATCTCCCGAACTACACTTAACTAATTCAACTAATGCAACAATAATAACTTCCTAACTACATTGGTCTTCTGATCGTAACATCACTACCTCTTATAAAAGGGACCTTATGTGCAAAGTCTAAATTAGGGTGAGAGCAGGAGATCATTTTAGATCCCAAGTAGAATGGAAAGCTCCATGGTGAGCAACATTAGCCACTTCCACTGTAAATGATGTGTTCTCGATTCTTATTCTCAGTAACCATTATTAAAATGTTGGCAAGGTTTTTTTATTTTTCTTATTGTTTGGATTTTGATAAAGAAGTTTTATATATTATCAAACCATTAAAGTGGCTTTAACTTGCGAGCTTAAATTTTCAAATGAGATGATTATTTAACATGGTATCGAATTCGGTGACCACGTGATTAAATGATCACGAATTCGATCCTACATAGATGGGCTTGTGCATTAGCCATTTTTTAAGTCCAATAAACTCTTATATGATGAGGTATGTTAGAGAAATATAATATAAAATAATTAAAATAATTTTCACTTACCAACTTAAATTTTTAGGTTATATGGTTATTTAAAAATTTCTCAGAAAATATTTGTACTGCCATTTCCATGAGGCTTTCTTTCATAGTAAGCAGATTTGTTGCACCTGAGCAAGCAGCTCCAAAAGTTGCAATTGGTTTTCATCAAAAGATTGATGTATTTCCAACCTGAATGAAACAATATATCTTAAAGAACCAATATACTTTGATGATGGGCAACGATGTTCGGAAACAAAAGCACCAATGTTAATAAACGAGTTCATAAAACCTCTCAAGAATGAAAGGAGAAAAGAAAGAAATTGAAATTTCTTATTAAATTAGAGTTGTTATTATATGGAGCATGTCATTTTTAGTTGAATGCCTTCACTATACGTACAATATATTGGAAATGTTTAATTGATTTATACGATCGATACAACTAACTGCCATCCCCAATAATAATTATAACTCCCACTATAGGAAAAAATGCTGTATAATGGCGGTTTCTTCGCGGCCATTTAAAGATCCGCTGTAAGAACCCGCACCGTTAATTAAGGTATTTAATTAATTAATTATGTAAAAATAAGAAATGATTCCATAATTGACCTTAATAATTGTTAAAAGGCTTTAATAATTATGGTAAGTGATTAAGAATGCTGAAAGTCGCTTTTCGGAAGAAAAGTGCAGATACCGGTTCTGCTAGTCGATATAAATGCGTACCGAAAAAGTATCCCGTAAAATTAATGTAAGTGCATGATAATTACTAAAATAACATGTAGGACTTATAAAACGAGTTTCAAGTCCAAATAATGAGAACTGATGCCAGAAACTGATACTGGCTATGAAAAACGCGTACCGGAAAGGTGGTCAGAAAAATATAATAAAAATATGATAATTCTTGGAAAAATGTGTAGTTTCATATTCCAAAGTTTGGGATTAAAATGCTAAGCGTAGAAATTTAAGCTAATACTGCGTGTTTAAGTGTGAGATGGCTATTTATACACTCACTAAGGGAACATTGCCCTAGATACCTGATTTTCCTTTGTGAGAAAGACTGACCAGCTGCTTGAGCACTGTTCCATTGGTCTCCTTCACCTTCTCTTGAGCCAAGTTGGGACCTTTGGCATTGATCCATCTCTTTTCTTCTTGCAAACACTTGAGAGCATCATTGTTGAGTGAAAGGAGAGCCTTTTGGTGCGTGTTCAGCTGCTGTGAGAGGTGTGAGGGAGCTGTGTTTTCTGTTCTTGAGGGGTGTGATCTTTTGTTGGCATTTTGATGCTCCAAGGTGCCTTCTTGTTGAGTAAAAGAGTCATCTTGTGGTACATTTTCGTGCATCATCCTTGAGTCAGACTTGAGGGGCTGTGTTGAGCTCCAAGAGCATCTCCATTCTGAGTTCTGAGCCTTGGTATGTTGTACCACCCTTTAACTTGAGCTTTAAGACTTAAAAATGGAAGCTTGATGCATGTTAAGGCTAAAAGATGATAACTTGTTGTTGGGTAATGCTTAACACACCTAGAAATGCATGTTTAAGTGTTTAAAATCGGTAAAAACCCAACCTTGAAGGATATCTTCACGAAATGAAGAAACTGCATTTTGTCGTGAAATATCCGGATATCTTCCCGTGGAATATCCGGATATTGGATATCCAGATATGGTATCCGGATATGTGATATCCAGATATGGGGTTTTGGGATATCTGGATATTGGATATCTGGATATGGGAATCTGTATATCTGGATATTGCATATCCGGATATGGACAGTGGGATATCCGGATATTGCATATCCGGATATGGTCCCGAGGAATATCCGGATATTCTGGGATTTCGCAGAACAGTAGTTGTGTTCTGTGTGCAGTAGGCTATTGGGGGTTTGTGGACCCTAGATGATGAAGTTGAACTTCTGCAATTAGTGGACTAAGCCGGAATCACGTGATTAAGGGCTTGTGGCTTTGTTAGAAGCTTTAAGACATAAAACGTAATGAAGAGGCGTTGTCTTTAATTTGTATGCATGTGGTACATGTTTATTGATTTATATTTGGTCCATATCAGAATGTGATCTGCTGTGATTGGACTTTGAGCTTGTGGCATTGGATAGCTAGCTTAGAGGTAAGCTTTCGTGTCCTCGGTTTAGCCATGTTGTGGTTCCACCATGTCCCATGGGGATATGGTTATATGCATGCTGTGTTACATGCTTTTGATGTTTTGGAAATGTTGTTGAGCTATTGTATGTTAGTGCCTTGTTGATATGCATGGGGGTGTTCCACCTATACGGTAAGCCTGAGTATGTAGAACATACAAGAGGGTGAGACTGTGGGTGAGGTGCAAGCGGTGTTCCTTGTACTACATGTAGGGAATAGACGTATTCCTACATTTCTCTGGCCAGTAGATAGTGATTACACACATGCCATAGATATCTGTTGCACTACATAGTTTTGGAACTGATAATGATATAAATGCTTTTAGAACTTATATTGCACATGTAAGTGAGCTTGGGGTGGAAGATCCTTGAGGACCCCTTGTCTTACTGAGATTTCTTGTTTAGAGATCTCACCCCACGTTTGGGGAATGCTTATTTCAGGGTCAGGTAATGTTGAGACCTCAGGCGGCAGGAGGCCGGAGTTGAGTTAGATTGTTGTTATATTATGTTGCCATGATTGGATGCTGGATATGCATGCTGCTTATATGCTTATAACTTCAGTTTATGTTTATGGAGTTTTATGTTGAGACTTGTTGTTTACTATGTTTATTTGGTGAGCATGGGGATTGTCCATGACACATAGTATTGTTATGTCTTGATTATGTCTTGAGTTTTTTGTAGTTGTAATAATGTATCAGGATATAGTCCGGATTACGAGATGTAATGCCGTGATTTAGATACACACTTTATTTATATATTGAGGTATTTCAGTATATGTCTTGTTGCAATTTACA